ACTCCCAGCATACTCCAAGCTTTGGGAGGCGTGTCATACTCCCAGCATGCACCCCAGCGTTGAGGGCGTGTCATACTCCCAGCATACTCCAAGCTTTGGGAGGCGTGTCATACTCCCAGCATGCACCCCAGCGTTGGGGGCGTGTCATACTCCCAGCATGCACCTCAGCATTGGGAGGCATGTCATACTCCAAGCTTTGGGAGGCGTGTCATACTCCCAGCATGCACCCCAGCGTTGGGAGGCTTGTCATACTCCCGGCATGCACCCCAGCATTGGGAGGCGTGTTGTACTTCTGGCATGCTTCAGAACTTCAGGAGGCATGTCACACACCTTGCATTGGAGGTACATGGTGCTTGTCTGCCCGTCTCCATCCCGCATCAGCACCTGCATGATATGCTGCAACTGGAAGGCATTCTCGTCGACACGCTCCACAGCGCAAACATGCTCCATGGGGATGGAGGACCTCACCTGGGGTGGGTTTGTTGGGTTAGTGAAGGAAACCTTACAAACTGTCCCTGCACAGTCTGACATGTCAGAAGGAGGTAGGGTTAGGGTTAGGCTTAGGGTTAGGCTTAAAGAGTGAACAGCCAGAACGGGGAGATAAAAAAAATGACAGCAACCAGAGGAACATGGACAAAGTGAAAGATGAATAGCAGAGCAGGAGGCTACTTTAATGTGTAAATGAGCTTCTCAGGCTCAGAGACCTTGGGGAAGAGTCAGGTATCGTCTACAAAGGGATTCGTGATGGGATGAACATCCACCAGGCACCTCTCTGCACATTCCTCCTCACTCTCCTCACTCCATTTATATCTTTCACCTCTCTGCACATTCCTCCTCACTCTCCTCACTCCATTTATATCTTTCACCTCTCTGCACATTCCTCCTCGCTCTCCTCACCCCATTTCTATCTTCAACCTCTCTTCTCATTACCCCTAGTTCATCTCACCCCATTTTTATCTTTTACCTCTCTTCACGTTCCCCCTCTCTCTCTCCTCACCCCATTTCTATCTTTCACCTCTCTGCACATTCCCCCCCCCTCCTTGTTAGAGCCATAGTATAGATAAGAGAATATGATGTTGTTTCTTTTGTGATGTATGATATTGTAGAAATGATTAAAGGAATGACTGTTTATTTGTAATGTTGAATTTCAGTTTAATTTTGTTTGCCGGATATGAACACCTGTCTGACGTCACGTGTTAAGTGCCGTAAATCACTGTAGTGCTGTATGTAACTGAGGGCACAACAGTCTTTGACCATGACTACAAACATATTACCTTGATATTGAAAGAACGTTTAAGTTTTTTTTGTACTGTGGTATGTTTACTTACCAAAGAATTTGGAAAGTTTAAAGAAGTCTCGCGTCAATTACTTTATTCTCCCACCAAGAAGAACGCGGAATATTAGGAACAGCACTAACACTCCTCACCTCATTCACCTCTCTTCACATTCTCCCTCTCTCTACTCACCCCATTTCTATCTTTCACCTCTCTGCACATTCCCTCTCTCGCTCTACTCACCCCATTTCTATCTTTCACCTCTCTGCACATTCCCTCTCTCGCTCTACTCACCCCATTTCTATCTTTCA